GGCCGATGTTTTAAAAAAGTATCTGCAAGAGCATATGAACGAAATATTCAAAGCTTACTTCCGTCCTCCCCCTCCCTCCCCCTCTCCCCCGTCCCTTCTCCTCATTCATCCTATGTCTCTGTAAATGCTCACTGGTCAGATCGGACAAGCACTGAAGAGGGACTCATCAAATGCATCCGAATAAAAAGACCTACATCATGCGATGGCTTTTCAACAGAATGCAACACAAATCGCGTTTTCGCATTTGCTCTACCTTCTCGTACCCAAACGACCGATACGCCTTTCGCTTTTGGTTTCATCTGCGCCCGCTTCTCACTTGGTATTTCGATGAAACCGAAGACTGGCGATTTCAATGCACCCAACACTCCCTCATACGTCCCGCGCGCTTCAAACTGAATATTAAAAGAATTATACAATAGGAAATTACAAAAAGCTATTTTCAAGCAAAAATCGTTGCGAATATGTTGACCATAAATAGTGAGATTGGAGGAGTGGAGCGTTGGTACGGCAACGATTCTTCGATGAAGTGATGCATCTGTGTTGTTTTTAAGCAAGCATCATTTCAGCATAAATCACGTAAAACTAGACAGAACAAAAACTAACCACATAACCAGTAAAAGTCTCGACAGCAAGGACAGGCGATGAATGAGGGCTAGTGTTCTGAGACCAAGCCTTGATTCTGAAATCTGGCTGGCCCTTTGGACTGTATGCCTTGAATTTAATCCACATTCCTGGCTGAAGTTTATCCCATCCTTCCTGCGAATTATCGTCGAAACGAATTTTCACACACAGATAATTGGGCGACAGAACAGAATTGTCGCCCAAAAACAGTCCATCATCCAATATATCCGGCTGAAATTGTGACATTATACTGAGATTACAGTTTTGGAAAGTTCTGCTTTTACAAAACGCTTCAATTACGTTACGAATCTCACTCGCAATGCTATTGCCTACCATAGTTGGAATACTGTGATATACATTAAAAATATTGGATGATGGATACATTAAAAAGAATATATAAACGCATACCGTACGCATCACCCATGTCACCAACTTTTCTCTCTGCACAACTGATGCTACTAAGCTCACTGCATAACATTTTTCTTCTCCACTTATAATGCTTTTCATTTTTACATAACATTTTCCAAGAAATCTTCACAAAAATCCAGAAAACATTTCAATCAAAAAGAAAGCGGAAACAATTTTCTTACGTAGCCGCTGTTTGCAACTGCATTCACTTTGCTTGCCGTCATATCCGAGAGGTATTTGACCTGAAAG